AAGGCTCTGATGCTGCTGCATGAGTAAAGCTATGTTTCCGTTCCCTGAGTTCTCCACAATCGCAGCTCGGATTAAGTCGGAAGTCGTGGCGGTGGAACCCGCGATAGCCGAGCTGAATTGGGGCTGTGCTTTTATGGTATCAGCTACTGCTTTGCGGTACAACATAGTGTTGAGATAGAGCTGCAGAGCCGCATTGCTCGGGTTCGCTGACGTTCGTTGACCCATTGAAGTTGAAATGACGTTGGGCTGAGGCGACGACTCAAGAGTCGCAACCGGGTGGGGACGAATCATCGACCTCTGAGCTAGTTGGGGCAAAGAACAAGGATAGCCTCCGATGTTTTGCAGAGTAGATGTGGCCGGAAACGCGCCGATGGAGCCTGCGGGTGGCATTATGTGCGAAGCAGTAGCACTTTGGAATGTAGTCGGTGTCCTGTGATTGATTCCTTCCGAGAGAGACTCGAATGTCGCGTGGGTTCGCATGGCCGACGTGACTGAAGTCGTGAGTTCGGGTGTGGTGTCACGTGACGCACTCATTAAGTCTGAGTTAGAGGGGGAGGAGCAGGGGTATTTGTGCTCGTGTTTCTTCATGTGTCGTTCTAGATTAGTCTGCTGTCCGAAGGCTTTGTCGCACACCTGAACATGAAGTTGTTCATAATTTCCAAATTTCAAATTCAAGGAGCGATACCTTATGTAATGGTACTGCGGCACATTAATCTTATCATTATTATTTTTCAATTCTGTCCAATCGTTTTTTTTAAATAGAGTGAAATTAGTGTTTATTGATCTGTGTTATTTCATTGCCCAGTGTTATTTTAGTCTATCACTATAATTTGTATATCAATTAATAATTATTCTCACCTTGCATTGGTAGGGTTTCTCCTTGTTGTGTATATTCCTCACGTGTCGCTGCAGATTGCTAGATATACTAAATGCTCTGTTGCAGTACTTGCACACGTACGGCTGCTCGCCAGTGTGAGTCCTAAGATGTCTAGTCAAGTTAGCCGAGCGAGGGAAGACTTTGTGACAGAACTTACACACGTACTTCTCTTTGCTAGAAGCACAAGGCGACAAGGGATCCCCCATGTTGCAAACTCCCCCCACATGCGAATCATGTGAGGCTACCGGTTTCAGGAGACCTCCGAAATAGGGCGCAGAAACAGGAGAACTCCCGATTCCAGGGTTCAACCCTGGGACTTGCCCTCCGGCAACGGAATTGAACCCAAGTTGAGATTGTTGCAGTAAATTGTACATTAATTTTTGGTACTCCAGCTGGCCGAAAGCGTTTCCCATGTTCAGCCTAGCAGATTGTTCAAGGTCAAGACCATTTGCTCCCGAATGCCCAAATTGCAGAAATTGTTGCAGTTGTCCAAAATTTTGAGCTGCTTTCAAAGCTTCATTGGCATTACGATGTTGACTTTCTGCTAGTCCATTTTGAGAGTTATTTTCAAAAATTTCTTGTTCGGTCAAAGATTCCGCATCGTCTAACGTTTCAACGTCAACTAATTCATTTTCGGCTTCTACTTTGGTAGTCGTGTTGCTATGTTCGTCTTCGTTCTCGTCTCGAGTCAAATCCATTTCGCATTCTTCATAAATTTCCTCATTCGGGCTCTCGCTGGTTTCCGACATCTCCTCTTCGGTTTCCGAGTCCGAGATGGACTGGTTTCTCGGGTTGCTCAAATCCAGCGGGGACTCCCGGCTCATCCCTCTTGAATTATCCTCTCTTTTCAGGAATATATCCTCTCCAGAGCTCAAACTGTGTTGATTTTGAGCTCGGTTCTCGTCAGCCGAGCCGAGAAGCGTAGCCGAGACGCAGCTTCGTGCCGAGAAATGGGTGGTCGGAATCCGTACATTCAAACTCTGTGCAGTCGAAGCTACCGAAATTGAAGGTCGTACTACTTTCAGAAACTTGTTGATGCAGAACCTTCGATGTTTGTTCAGAGCGCTGACTGATTTGAAACTATCGCCGCAAGTAGAGCAAGTTACTTTTCGGCAGCAGTCTGCGTGCATTCGTTTGTGCCGACACAGGTTTGAGAACTGAGTGTAAGATCTGCTACATACCTCGCACACGAATGGTTTCACACTGCTGTGTATGTGCATGTGTTGTTTAAGTCCGCTAGTCGTGGCGAAGAATTTCCCGCATATCTTGCAGGAGTAGTTGCGGTAGGAAGATGCGTGTTCCTGGTGAATATGAGACTCCATGGATTCGATGGTAGGAAAGGATTGCTCACAAGAGCGGCATTGAAATTTAGCATTCGAGTCGTCAGTGCTCGGGGATGTTTGAGAAGCCGACTAAAATGAGGACGATAAAAATTAAGTTGAGCGTAGTATAATGCAACAGTAACTGTTTATGCAATTCATCGAATGGAGAAAACAAAAATAAAAAAGTTCCAATTTTAAATAAAGAAGTTCTTCAAGTGATACTTTTTGATTTATTTTTCTTTTAGGTAAATTGGGTTTTCTCAATAATTTCAAACGTTTTTTCTCATATTATTAATTTACTGATTCTGTCCAGTATTACTAATGCGCAGGCTGACTAGACAACTATAAGCTTCAAATGACTTTCTGGTTTTTGATTTCTTCAGACAATTATTTTATCAGTGTTCGTCTTTATATTTTTATTGTTGTTTTAGTAATAAAAAAACACACACCGCCTATTTTAATGTCATAAATGATCAACTCGACAAAAGCTGAAACTTGTACAACAAAAGTTTACATCCGCAAAAGTTAGAATTTGCAATGTAATTCATAACATGACAAACGTTTATTTTTTCATCATTATTTTTATTGTCTATTTTTGGTCGTTCTTTTTCTCGAGATGCACTGGCTTTTCTAGTCTGCTAAATGACCAGATCAAAAAAAAACGATAATACACAGTCGGTATAATTATTAATATAATTCATAATTGAATATTACATGGATTTTTTAAACATGTCTGATTCTTCTTCGTATCTTTACTAGTCGTGTTTTAGTTGTAAAAAGACAAGCACAGCCTCTTCTAACCTAATGAATGGTAACACAACAACTATCACAACTCGGCTTCCCAGTGTAATTCATAATCTACAACCAGTTCAATCTCAATATTCTGTATCCTATGTTGGTGCTTGGGTCTAGGTAGAATCTTAGCAGCAAGTTAGAAGCAATAAGTTAACATCCTCTCACTAAACCTTTTGAATGATAGCAGTTTAGGAAAAACTTTTTAAAAGACGTTCATTAAATGATAAAGCAACTTACGGTTTTATCACCGCGGGTTTGAAGATCTTTCTCGTCGCTCCACCCGAACCTCACAAAAGACCCACTCGGTTGTCCTTTTTTGGAAGTCATTGCGTAATTGGCATTCGATGTTGCACAATCCTTGTCCAATTGATTTTGAATTTGGACCTCATCTTCTTGATTACTATGTGTTTGCCCACCTGAAAGGTCAACAAAGGTAATTAATTGAAGTTACAAGTGTTAATCGATCAGTTAACTAAGATTGAATTAACTGATTAGGAGCTTCAAAGTATAAACAGTTTTCTTTTTATTTGGGAAAATTGATTTTTTGTGATTTCATTTAAACTTGACGCGATATTTGTTGACTGGGTTTTGAAAAGTTAGCAATGACAATATTTGTGAACAAGGTGTGATTAAATTAATTAATTTAGTGAAAAAGGAAGTGTTGCAAGGAAGAGCAAAATTGATCTTTGCTTTCCCGGAAATGCTTCCCTTTTTATGTTGGGTTGTAATGATATTAAAAACAAACACATGAACACCTTTTCAATCTTGAGTCTAAATATTAACTCCCCGCTTAATAGTCACTATTGAAAAATCCCAGCAAACAACAAAAGCAAGGAATTGAAAACACAAGTAGGGAATATTTTGTGATTGTTTGCTCGATCGGAAAGATATTCCCAAGTCAAATGCCCAAAAGAGAAAATAAAAGGAAAACTGACCGACCCTTTAAGCCTCTAAATATCCCTTACAAGTAAACAATACCCATTTAAAATTACTTAATTTCACAGTCTAGGAAGAATCCATCTCTACGGCCCTCGAAAACTTAATCCTAAAAATAAGGAAAAATGAAGATATTTAAATAATCTTTTTTATTTTTTTTTTCAACTCGAAAATGTTTTTTTTTGGAAGCTAACCAGTTAAGAATTGATGACGAGATACCATTGTTGGAAGAATCAATTATGATGATTTTAATGTGATTTGGTACTGAGGAATGGATATTTATGATGATATATTTAGGAAATGATATTTCACTTGATTTGGTATTTGTGATATTAATTTCTAGTTTCGTATCGGTTTTATTTTTGTTTTGGTTTATGGAGTTCTGTAATTTAAAACGGAGTCCAATCTAAGTTATTTTAGAAGCTGCCTCAACTTTGGCGCTTCAAAGTAGGTTTAAAACATTGGTTGTTTTTGGCCAACAACCAACTATTTAATTGGTAAGGGAAAGTTTGATAGTTTCAAAGGAAATTTTGGTCTCAAAATGGATCTGATTAATTGCTTTAATGGATCGGACGAATGAGTTATTAAACTCAGGTGTGTTGTGGAATAATAATATGTTTGTGTATGTAACCGAGTACCTAACCACTCGACTTTATGACAGAGCGTTTTTATTTCAAAGTCAACTAATTACCAATTAACGAATTAATTCAAAATACCGGCACCTCAAGTTCAAAAATTTCTGGAGACTTATGACAAAAAAAAGTATTCCAACTCATTATTTACCCGATAATCGAGTTCGTTAGTTAAAAAATTGGATTATAAAGAATTGTTATTCTGATTATACAATAAACCGGTCGAGTGGCTAGCAGCCGTTAATCGTAAATAATTAAGAGGCATTGTAAAAAATCACTCCAAGTAGTCATCATATTACAGCATATTGTACCTAACACTCGCCAAATGCAAGTTAGCATAGTAAAAGTTCACAACTTGACTCAAAAATTAGGGAATTAAAATTGACAGATGTGATGAAGATTTCGACGGATGCAGGAGAACTCATCAAGCATGTCTACATGTTAAAGCAAGGAGAACCGCAACATCTGCAAAAAGATGCCCCGATTTGAAAACTCTGGAACAAAATGGAGCTTTTCATATATAAAAAGACAAATTTGAATAAAAAGGACAAAATAAAATAGTATCCATTTAGAAACATTGAGATATTAGAAATATCCAGAGAATGAAAACCAGCTATGTAGCAGCTAGATGTCATTAGCAGGTATTCTTGTCAAGCATCATTTGCGTTCTTCTTAAGATGATTTTTCTTCTCACTTTTCTTTTTTCAACTTGTCACTTCTCACCAAAAAGGGAAAAGTCTTAACCAAATGTCGAAAAAATACTGGAAAAAAGTGGAAATATTTTCAGTCGGGCTCTTCAGCCTCTCCTAGACTGGTTAAGAAGGTAGTTATAAGTGGTTATAAGTGATGCACTGGCCCATAATGTTGAGGGATGCTTCGCGCCTGTTTCTGACATCAGACTCTATTTGTATCTTTCACAAAAACATCACCCGGCTCAAATCTTCTAACAATGTCAAGATTCTCAACTGTCAACTGCAATCCTCGCCTTTTTCACTTTCAAGCCAACACACTTATCCTTTCAATCTGCTCCTATTTTAATTTAGAAAAAAAACAAAGTGAATGTCACAAATTGATTTTGAAAATCGAAGAAAATACATGAGGTTTTCTCAAAAATCGGCGGAAAAAAAAAGAATTTAATAATGATCGAACCGCTCTGGTTCCAAATATTAAGTTATTTTGGCATTGAATTATCAAAAAGCACGATTTCAGCTTTTTTCATGAAAAGAAATGTTTTACTAATTCTTTCGACAATTTCGATGACTTTTGGACGTGGAACTAAATCAACCTACAGACTTAAGGCAATGTGTGGGTTTTTGAGTCCACAACATTTCATCGCGATCTTTGATACTAAGACCCTGTACATGATTGCGTCATCGAGTGTTTCGATAGCAGAATGAACAACAGACTTGGGGACTACTCAAAACCAATTGAGGTCTTTAGCTGCTTGGCATACTCAAACAGGAATAGAGATAGAATTATTAATAGAGGTAGAAGTATTTGATTGCAAATAAGGGAGGATAAAAGATAAAATAGCGGATGTTAATATCGTTTTGTGTTGTTTTTGAAACGGTATCTTGAAAATCGGGCATTTTCTGAGTTGATTTTTATTTAAACTGAGTTGATCAATTTCTCGAGCGTTTGCGAATTGCAAACATATCTATTCTCGAGTAGATAGCCGTTCAAAGAGTGTTTTGTTATCGGCCAGTTATTGGTTAAATAGACATTAATCACAGGTAACAAGGTAATGTTGAATGGGTTGATTGAACGAATGATCGACGCTCGGATCCCCCCCCCCTAACAGGTGAGGTGATTGCAAAAGGTAGTCGCTAGTCACTAGTCATCAATGGACACCTTTAATCTGACTTAGCTCTCCTGAAATCAATGCGGCGCCGCAAAGCCACGGCGCCAAATAGTCTGCGCCTCACAAATTTCAGCTAAGCTGATAGCTGCAATCGCCAAAACACATTATTACTTTTTAAAATCTTTTAAAGGATTCTTAAGCCGTTTCTTTGCTTTTGAACAAAGGGTGAAAGATGAATAACAAAAACATATTTAAAAAATAAAATGAAGACCAGCATTAAAAAAAGTAAAATAGCTGTGATATTTATTATTTTTTAAGATTTTCTGCTTAAAGTTGGCCATTTTTCTCTAAAATCAATAGATCCGTAAATTTTTTGCTGATACGCGAATCAAGGATATCTTTCGGCATGGATCCTGATCAAATGTCATAGATAGAATCAACTCTGCAAGTAGAAATTACATAATTGTTCAAAATTTTGAAATCTTTAGAGGATTAATGGCGCTTGAAGCTCAGTGAATCAATGATCGGAATCAACAAGTTGACAAAATATTTCTGATCATTGTAAGCCTCTTGGAGTAGTATTTCAACTGCTAAGAGCAAACGAAAGACCATGCGAGGAGTCGAATATCAAAAGAGTCACTTAAAACACCCTTGGCGTCATAGAGTCCCTTGGAATAGAATAGCTTGGGTTCCTCACCTCGGGCAAAACATCTCAATTGGTATCTTAATATAACAAGCATGTATCAGATTTCAGTTGATTAAAACTGAGTGCTTTTGTATGAGGTGGTTAAATTACTAACCAATAAAGTTTTGATTGCATCAATGAGGGGTTTGGATTGAGAAGTCTTGAATTATGCAAATTGGAATTAGACCAACACCGTTTCCGGTTTCATCGCATGAACAATAGAGAAGTCATGTTTGGCTGTGGATGAAGTTCCTTCATGGTTTCTCAATTTTAAAAAATCCAATAAGTTTTTTCAATTATTCTCATAATATCCGATGAAATCGAAGATCATTATGATTATTAATATTCAATTAAAAAAGTTTTGCTAAAAATACTAAGTTTTCTGCGCATATAAAAAAATATCCCTGTCTAAAGTTAATTTAGCATGCGTTTGTAAACTTTTGAGCCACCCGCAGGTCAAAAGTTAATTCGGTTTAAACGTGCTAATTATTACTTTAGATCTTGAAGTCAATTTTGAAGGTACCCCAAGGCTAAAATTGGTACATCTGGACTTAACACGATAGCAAGAAACCTCAATTTTGAAACTCATAGAACACCGCAAGCTATGCAATTAGCCAGTTGACAACTAAACGAACAATCAATTAAAGGTGCAAGAAAACATTTGATCACTTGAGTAATTTATGCCAAGAATCCCGCGGCTATAATTGGGAAAACTGGCAAAACAGGTGAGAAGTGTGTCCGACTACCAAAACATAGGGAGCAAAATCTGATTTTCAAAGGCAATTCTATCCAATTTTGAGAGACATTTACCATATTAATCTTCAGATCGGAAGATATTAATCAGATTGGTAAACTGTTATTATAAAGCGAAATTGGCCATAAAACATGTGGATTGAATTGTATTTTCAGAGGAGAGCAGTTGAAACTTGAGCGGAAAGTTGGTTTGAAGTTGAAAAACAAACCAGTTCGAATCATCAGAAGAGTCGACATTGTTTTCACGTGGGGGCATATGGTGGTTTTTACAGTGTGCTCCGCAAACATATTCCTGTCTGGGTTGAGTTGGGATTGGGAATCACTTTTTACGATGCAATCTTAACTCGGGACATCTGTCTAAACAGTCTCATAAGCAGAATAGAAAACTCGCAGCCAAATATTACAATTTGAGTAGTTTTAATTAACTGCTGTCACAAATGACGAGAACAGCCAATAAAAAGAAGAACCAAATAAAAACAAAAACGCCACAAAAAATTGATTAAGACAAGGAAAAACTTTAGTTAAGTGAACTAAAAATCAATTTGCATTGAATTGAGCTGATAATTTTTTACTGAGTCTCGGAATTTTTTCACTCTCGGAGGGAGGAGGGGGAGGGGTGGTACAAAAAAAACAACCAATTTTTTTGTGAGTTTTTGAAAATCCACCCCTTTTCCTTCTGGCAGAAATCTTAGATCCGCCTGTTTTAAATGTTTTAAATGTTTAGTTTGATGTCAAAAGAAGATCATATTCTGGTTTCTAACTATAAATACAAAAAAATTTAGCTGCAAACAAAAAAATCATTCCGTGTTTTACGATAAAAAAAAAGATGTTAAGCCGGAGCAAAAAGCTGCTCTTTTAGCTTTAGGCAACATTCAGAACCACAAACATGTTTGTAAGCGGCAAAAAATCTAAGTCATTTGCGTAACTCAATTAACTGCGCAGAAAATTTCAAATGAAGATTTTTCGCGTTTTGAAGCTTTCGAAATTAAAAAAAATCCAAAAATAAATTAGTTTTTGTCCGATAATTTACGACACTTATTCAACTTAATAGAAAAGTTGTTGCTTTAATCAAAATGAAACGTTAAAAAAAAGTCAAAAACGGTCGGAACAAAGAAGGGGGCAATTCAGTCGCGGGTAAACACTTGAAGAAGAGAAGCCCTACAAATTGGACTGACTTAATAAGAACAAGAAAGGTTGCTGTATTTCCAGCTGGAATTTCGTGTCATGGTGACAGAAAACAAAAATATGATTTTGTTCAAGCTCATCTTTGGTTTGAGAATTAAGAAAAGCATAAAAATGGAAAAAATTTAGCAATCCAGTAATTGAAAAATTCGCAGAACAAAATTATGAAGCTGGAAATCGATAATTTACGGAAGTGTTTCTAACCTTTTATGTCAATTTTTCTTTGCTCAGGCTCAAGTTTAATGTCCATGTCTGCACTTCGTTCCATCTTTGCAATCATCGGCTTTCTTTAGAGTTTCCTGTTGTCGGGTTCACTTGGACAAATTTGGGTCGGGTGTTCGGGTTTCGTCAACTGCTTCAGTTTGCAATTGGCGACAGAAATAATTGAATTTTGTTATTTCTCGACAGGTGATAAAATTTAATGATTACTTTCTGTTCTTTGCTTGATGAATTGAAAGTTTTAGTCAGTTCTAGTTTGTTATTAAAGATAAAAACAGATATTTATGACAAGTGCGATTTTATTCAACCGATCTGTTGTCAGTAATTATTTTTTATAATTGTCCGGTCTGGTCTGCTCACAGGTTAGTACAAATTATATATCAGTTTATTATCTAAAATTTTCTCCGGCTGATTGATTTGATAGCCAAAACAGTATATATTAGATTGCTTTCTCTGGCTTCAATATGTCTTCAGGCGACTTAAAGTCTACTTCCATTCTCGAATCTGGTTGGCTAAGACCTGCTAGGCTCTCTTCGACTTGTGATTGGCCAATTGACTATTATGCAAAAGAGCTCTTCTATTAATAGTCCACAGCTACTGAGATCCACTTAATTGTATATTGTCGGTACAGCTTTGCTTTTATGCGGCTTTTAGAGGGGCGGGCAATCAATTGTTGGTTAATAAATCGATTAATTAATGAAAGAACAAACGATTTGATGATTGCACTTGGACGATAGTTTGCCTAACGTGAACGTCATTTACTGCGACGATTTTTTTGTTGATTGTTCACAGAGATTTGAGCGTTAATGGTATCAACTGCTCGCAAACACCTGAGCTAAATGAAGAGCAAACATTTAAAAATCCAATAAATCGCCCTCAACTAATTAGGCGGGCAAATAAATTCGCCATCATAGAGCGAAAACACATCAAATACATCAAAAAGAAAATCCATTCAAAAACTAAACAGAAGCCCCTGTTTATATTTTCACATCAATTACCAAGTCATCTTAAACTTCAATTCCGCGTAAAAGTGGCCAACCCAAACCAGAAACATCAATCGAAAGTTTTTTGCCCTCTTACTTTTTTGATAATGTGTATACAGCGAAGTACACACATTAGTTCGTAGTATTAAGTAGTACAACAGTCTTATAACAACAGTTGGTTGGACAAACAAACTGAACTCATTGAGAAAATAATTTGTTGATTTTTCTCTCAGAGATTCGAAACGGAGGTTATGGGACCCCCAGAGAGACCGCCTTGCCGCCTACTCGCGAAGGGATTAGTTCATCAGCGGATCAAAATAGAATACAAACAAGTCAAAGTGACTTATCCAGTCAAGTATGATTTATTATATAGTTAACTTGTTAAGTGACACAATCACGTGGCGCCCGCTTTTAAGTGTCAGTTTGAGTTTAAAAACCAGATTTCGATACGCGAAGCTTCTTTAGGTGAATGGCCGCATACAAACAAAAAGTTACGACACCCCACATACTGTGTAACTTACGCTACCAACATCCCTGCTCAAATCCCTGTTTTGTTTTTCTAACAAAAAAGGACAGCCAGTTGGTGTGCAGAATGTTCCGAGCACAATGATTTAAGAAGTGAAGTTTCAAAATGAGGAAAAAAAAATAAAATATAAAAAAATGGATTTTTTTCACAATTTTTTATCCAATTTCCAGTTTTTTTTGTGGATAAGGGATCGAATTAGGTGCGAAAATGTTAGAATGAGTGAAATAGAAGCTAACAAAGTTGTCAGTAAAATTAGGTTTGTTGGAGGTCAGCGTCCACTCATATTGTCGAACTCAGTATAAAAATCAAAAAAAGACAGACCGTTTTTTCATTGATGCGCACTATTCCAGTAATTTGAAAAAATGTACAAAAATTACTACGCCCGGCATCATTAAACGTACAGAACTGTTTTCGATTAATTAGACGTTTTACAGTCTTGGCCACGCATTCCAGTCCCTTAAGAAAGTTTTATATCATTTAATTATTCATTGTAAGCTTTTGTATCAACTGGTCTGCTGAAACATTCAAAAAATTGCCAAATTAAATTTTTTGTTGATTTATTTTAACTTTACCATTGGTTATTTCAATAGAGCACTTTTCTAGCAACTTGATTGACTGGCAAATTAACTCGTGAAGGCAAAAAAACGTGAAGCAGGGGTGGATCCACGATTCTCTCCATGAGGGGATTTTCAAAAAAAAAATTTGAAAGTTTGATCACCTTTTTTGAATTTCTTTAGATCAACCATAATGATCCCAAATCACTATAAGGACCCTTTTTTTCCATTTTTCGGAAAAAAAACAGGCCAAAAAAAGCGTTTTTAGGCACTTTTTGGAAAATTACGACCAAAATTGCCGTTTTTTTTTGGTGCGCGCTCCCCCCTCAAAATTAGTATATATTGGCGGCGAAGGAGCCTTTAAAAAATCTAAGGGCCAGCCAGCCAAAAATGGAAATCTCAAAATACTACAAAAGGGGGACCCTTTGGGTCAGCAGAGGTCAAATCTCTGAGGAAGGGGCGTCCCCCCGCCCCTAAATCCAAATCCGCTACTGACGTGAAAAATTTTTCGTTCTTTAGCTCGAGTGAAAACCGAAAACATATTTTTCTTTAAATGCTCAACGAACATTAGCGGAAAAGACGAACCGCGCACACAAACCCCGAAGAATGAATTCCTTGCTGAAAGAATTCGCTTCAACAAGGCTGTGAAATATAGCTTTTTGCGGCTTTTTCAAGTAAGATACCAGCGAGCTTCTCTTGACAGAACACGACGGATGGCTTGTCCAATTGTATATGGCAAAATTATTAAGTGCTCTTAAAACTGCTCGTTGAAGATCTTTTGACTAGTCTGAACAATCGTCTTATTGTCGATTTTAAGACAATTATTCGGTCTGATTCTCAACTGTTGAATTTCTATAATTGTAATTCCTAATTAACAAAGTTCCTATAAGAAAATGTAGAAAAAAATGGAGGAAACATATCAAAAATTTTGCCGCTCCTTTGAGGTGGTGTTCAATTTGCGTTCAAATTTTTCCCAGTAGCTCAGAATTTTGCGCCTGAAGTATGCAACCATGTGTCGGTTTGATTTATTTCTAGATTTCAAGACACAATGGTTAAGTAATTTTTTCAAACAGCGAGTGGTAAATCATCGTAGAATACCAATTAAGGTACGGTTCATCTCATCTTAGCTTCACAGTTTTATTGCTTTTTAATAAATTTTATCTCCGAGCCATAAAAATTAATCAACCAAGATGTAGTCGATGCACGTTTCACAGCTTGCGGCGCTGTTGATAATTACAGGTTTGATAACCACCACACGTACAATTGTCAGAAGATTCGCACCATTTTCATTAGTTTTCGATTCAGGTGTTGTACTTTTAGTCTGGCTGTGGTGTGGTTATCGTCATGGCTTAGCGAAGAGTTCTCGCGGTCCATTAATTTTCTGCCTCTCAGCTGAGATGGCAGATGAAAAGAATTAATCAACAGACTTCTCACATTTAATTTCTCATTTTCAAAAGAGCAGTCAAAAGTCCTCGAAAGTTGTTCAAATTCTGATGTTTTATTTGCCATCATCTCTCGATTTACTATCGCGAGAATTTATTGAACAGAATTGATGATTCTACACAGCTAACAAGTACCATCTAACCAGTGGGGTGATTAATAATTATAAGACTGAAACAAATCACCTGCTTCACTTTTCAAACCAATTTACTCTCGATCACCGAGACGTGAAAACTTCAGAATACCAATTATAACGCTTTTTCAACTTCGTTGCGTGAAACATAAAAACTCTGGCAAAAACATGTTTTAACTTAGCGGCCTGCTTTTGTCTTAAGGTGCCTCGGCTATAATGGTTTATGATTTATAAATGTGTTGAGATGTTCCGAAGTTTCCACTTAGGTGAGGAAGATAAAAATTAACGATGCGACCACCACATTTAACATGTCTTTAATTTGTAGTCTGATCTTTCATGGCCTGATCAAATTGTGCGTGTGTTTTTCAATATGAGAAAATACAAATCAGCCCATTAAATCAAAAATGAAGTATCGATTAAAAGGGGCAAAAAAACATGTCTTAATTCACCGTTTTTTTTGTAAAAAAAACAACCAACATTTTACCCATTAAAATAGAATCGTCTGTTTATTATTTATCACCATGTCTGTTTCAACTATTTAAAAGAAAATTTTTAATAAAAGGGCAAATTTAGAAAGAAATAAGTTAGCTCTAAGCACCTATTTGATTGACGTATAAATTTGAAAAACATCCATAAAAATGTAAGATTTGCCCCCTGTTAAAGCTGTCTTTGATGAAAAAAACTCATCATTCAGAGTCATAACTTCAGTTTCAATTAGCGTGTATCAAAATTTTTTTTCAAAAACCAGACGATTGTATTTGAATATACTGATCAGTAAAGACTCTTGGTCTGCCCGAAGGTGTGTTTAATACAAGTTAGCACTAGTAATAACTAATTACACTGTTCTATTCTTGAGCCGTCTAATTAGATTGGGCAAAGTGAGGATAGGGAAGGGTAGGTGATTCCGGAGAGATTTGGACTAGGAGAGGGAACTGGCAAACTGGCTGTGACACGCTTTGTTGTCTAATTTGTGCTCTTAACTAATGATATTAACACTCTCTCAATATCAATCTCCCCTCAAAGCTCACCCACTATGCTGTGCATATCGCAAGCCCATCGCAGCCCAGTGAGGGGGGGGGGGTGCTAAAAATTAAATGAAGGACTCGATCAACTGGATTCGTTCAATATCGATCCAATCTCTTTCCTGTTTGTGACCCCCGTTCAATGATAGAGTAAACAAACTCGTGTATTTTTTTCTCTCTCAAATTGCCGAACCAGTTTTACAACTTGTATGTTTTTTTTTGCAAAAGAAAATCTCCAAAAGCAAGCAGCATTGAAAAAAATATGGAAAATTTTTAATCTGGGATGATTAATCAGAAATGATTGGTTTTATAAAATGGCAATTCAAAAATGAATGTGCTGTCTATTAGTGTCCTAAAGAATGGAAAAACAACCAGTTCGTAATATTTTACAAATGCTTTAACATTTGTCAAGGTCCAAAATTTAAATCGAGGTTCAAAAGTATCAAATGTACACTTTTCTAGGTTTGCTTTCAAGTCTCTATCAACTATGTCATGTCATCAATCTAATCTGAAGTCTCTCCTCTCATCAGTCTTGTCGTGAATTTGACTCTCCTCTCTTGATTTACTCTTCGATGTAGCTGATGATGACTTGATCTTATCATCTCATCTATCCTTACTCCTCAATGTAAACTGGGCCAGTTGTCTAGAAACAAGCTGACAGTAAACAGATCACTTGCACAGTCCAAACTTCAACCCCATTTATTTCAACACATTTATACCCACAACCAAATCTGTAAAATCAGGCAAATCCTTAAGCCGAATCGGCCAATTAGAATAACTTTTTCAACTTCATAACTTTAATTTAATTCAAAACTCACTAAAA